CCCCAAAACCCCAAAACCCCAAAACCCCAAAACCCCAATATATTATTTCATGCCTGAAACAGTCTAATGGCTTTAGTACCGGTTTCTTGGCTATAACAATGCATCGCATGGGGTAGAACACGTAAGTCTTGAGCAGAGTTACATATTTGGAAGCTTTCATACCTGTGAGAGGGATTTGGCACTGTTCAAGATTAATTCCCACAAATTTTCGCTACCACCTCTAATATGTACGAGATAAGGTATCTGCTACGAGCAGTTTTGTAGTGAGTAAACTTCTGCAGATTCACCTTAGATCTGGCATACTAATTGCCTGAGTAGTATTCCTTTGAACCCCCCCATGCTATTGTATTGGAAAAAAGTCTTCAAAGGTATTCACCTAAAAGCAGAGTTGCCAAGTTTGAAAAACATGTTTTCTGAATTTTTCCAAATTGAGGGCTCTACTACCAGACCAGACTTCTTCGATAATAAGCTGAAAGGGGAAGAGACCCAACTATATCCCTTGCTAGCCATCCAAAAATTATGATTAAGTCCTAGTTTGGGTATTTGAGTAAGCATATATTACCAATATCCTAATTTTCCAATATCTCCAATTAGCTCTTGTCAATTATAACTAAACTAATGATGTTGAGATAGATTTAGGATAAGCTAGCAGTACAAAATAGTGCAAAATATGAGTTTTAAAGTGCTAATTTAATTTGCTTTAACTGTTACTCACATTAAAACCCCTATTTCGTAATTTAGATAGCTAGCAAAGATCTGATTACAAAAGTTTTCTTTAATCACCTCACCATATACCACTCTAAGAGTTCTATCCTCGAAGGTCACAGTACTCATGCCATAGATAGCCTTTGATTGACTAATAAATTACTACAAATAAAGGATTCAGGCTGAATTAGGAGCAAAATTTCCTCTTTTTAGTAAGCTTACAAATGCAATTATGTCTATTATTTTTACCATGCCTCCAACCTATCCTCCTTACTAATAGAGCACTCTTAATACCACCCTCTGAAAGAAAAGGGTAATGCCCAAGAAACTAAATATTAGTGAAATACTTATTGACAATAAAATTCACACAGTCAAAATATTGAACAATTTTTCTTTCTTAGATAGCTTTCACTTAGACATCAGGTTTCGGAGAAAACAAGAATCTGATCACAAGTCCTGGCAAAATTTTAGGACTTAGAGTGGCGTGTAGAAGGTTATTTTGCAATAGCTATCAGCTGAAATAATCCCACTCTTTGTGTAAGGAGGGAAGTTTCTTTATACTTTCATCCTACAACTCCTTTACTAATCAAGTTCATGTAATTTAGATTTCTTAAAGCTAGCCTTTGCATTCTCTAACCAATAATACTACATAAAAATCTCCAAAAGAGCTCTTTGTGCTCCTTTCTCGCATTAGAAAGTTCTATCTAATATAATTGCTATATGGCTTAATTAGCCTTGATTGCCATCCTGGTTGAGAATAAACTGTATGCTAAGGATGTATACCAAGTGTTAAAATTTTTAGAATTTTTCTAAAATTGGCTATTCAATTACCCTACCGAAAGCTAAGAGGAATGAAAATTTGGGTCGAATGTTGGCTTGAGTTTTCTCTACTAATTAGACATCCTGTTGGTCCTTATAGAGTGATAGATTTGGTTTATGGCATGAGTAAGAAGTCCATAAGCCTGGTCATTCGTATTCACTGAAATTCCCCCGTCATCGTAATTGTACTTTAATAGGTCATGTGTTATTAATAATAATTCTTAAGTTATCAAATTCGCAGAAATAGTGGGAATAGATGATTTAGATAGCATAATTTATAAAAATGCCAGAAATGGGTCACCAACAAATGAAGACTCCTCAAATTCCAAGTAAGATTTAGCAATTAATTAGGATTATTATTTTAGCATTTCCTTAACCAATCTGGAGGGCTAGGAATTATTGACGAGGAATGTTCTTTTTGGAAAGTAAGCCGAAAAATGGCGTCGCCTTTGTACTATGAAATCTGCTCATCCTGCTTGAACTTACAACTATACCAATAGGATTAACACCAAACTTTGAATTAGCCAAGAGGCTAGGGCAAAAGAAAAGGATTCAGAAAGTTTGAAATATGCCTACCTTTGTTATCATATGATCCTCGGTCGAAGCTTTCTTGGCTAGCTTCTGACATTATTTCATCAGAGTTCGAAATTTTGTCCTCCATTTCCTGATCCTCCTCGATGCAGAAAAATGGAGAATATGATTCAATTTTATGTGTCTCAATTGGCTGTGGTGTGTTCTTACTGTCATCAGCAAGTAAGTCACTGCTTGAGAACAAACATGGAATCTGGTTGGTAGATTTGTACTTCTTAACTAGGCTGTCATCCTTCAAGAAATCAAAACAGTTCTCAAATCCAGCGATGTTTGAGTTCTCTGGAAGCTTGGTAAACTCAACTTTTCTTGGTCTATAAATATATTAACTTCTGGAAGAGAAAGGATAACTTACTTCATTGCTGGGGCTGTAGGAAGATCAAAAGAAGATTGTTTCATATTTATTTATTTATTATTTATAACATGCCTCTACTCCTTTTTATATTCACGGGGTTTTGGGGTTTTGGGGTTTTGGGGTTTTGGGGTTTTGGGG